GTGTGTGTGTGTGTGTTTAGGGAGGGGGTCCGCCAGCGACCAGATGCATGCAGACTCACCCTCAATAGATTGCTTGAAAACTAGAAAGATGCGGCTGGGAGCAAGGGGCGTAGGCACAAGCCATAGCTTCTTGTTCTTTGCAGTCAGTCATTAATATATTTAAGATGGCAGGGCTTCTTTTTTGTGGATCCAGGTTGTCGCCGAAGTGTGTCTCCGTGTGTGGCCGCCCAGGCGTCCGGAACACTGTGCACTTCAGCGTGTGGGGCGTTGTATCCTAGGAGCCGCCGACACCTCTGTGTGCCGGCAGCTGTGCAGAATGAATCACCGAGATCGGAGATGGAAAACACCTGTTACTGTGGGTCATCAGTCTGGGCGTGCATGCGTTCCAGTTTCCATTTACAGGACAGTTCCGTGCCCTTCCTCTGGAGGTTCCATTCCTTCATTCACTCTTCCAGGCAGCCTGAGGGTAGGCTGTCTGCTGGTAACTGGCTGGGGCTAAGAGACAAAGATATTAGAGTGTGAGAAGCACTGCCCTAGATTTGTAAAGTCCAGAAACGTAAGGGAAGAAACCCCCAACCCTGTCCCTTCACCCAGATATACTCTTTGCTGATATTTTGATGTAATTCCCACCCTTTGTTTTCTACACAACCTTATTTGTACAATGTGCCCTTTTAACAAGCATGAGTGGTATGGGGGTGATATATAGAGTTTCCTGCTCTTTTTACTTTACAATATATGTGGTTAAATAGTCTTTTAAAGCCTCGTTTTTAATGACTTCATAATATTCATTTTATGTCTGTACCATGGTGTACTTAACCATTTTTCTATGGTCCGATGGAATGATTCCAATTATTTATTACTATAAATAATGCTAAGATAATAAAAATAATAGATACCACTTATATATCATGCTTTCTTTGTGCGAGGGACTGGGTTAGGTAGTTTACCTATAATAATTCATTTAATTCTCATAAGAACTCAGTGAAATAGGTACTATTAGTATCCCCATTTTGGATACCAGGTGACAGAGACTTTCCCAAGGACACACTGCTTATAGGTAGTGGAGCTGGGATTTAAATCCAAGCAATCTGGCTTCAGAATCGATGCTCTCAACTGTATTCGTACTTAAATTTTTGTCCTAATTTATTTTTCCTTACAAGAGATTATTTCGATTTTTTAAAAAAATGTCTTGAAACATATTATCTATTTGCTTTTTAAGAAAGGTTGTACTAACTGGGGCTCCCACCAGCAATGTAGTAGTTTCACAACATCCTTGCCAACATTGAGGTTAAACTTTGAAAAGCATTTTCTAATTTGATGAATGAGAACGATATACTGAATGACCTGGTGTATCTTTAATTACAAGTGTGAAAATTTTTTACATATATAGTTGCCATTTGTATAGTACCGAGGGCTTTTATTTGGACATGATCTTAATGTACTAAATTATACCTTATATGTTACAGTATCTTACTTTTCTAACTGCGTTAACATCTTTAATCTCATTTAATCCTCACATTAGCCCCAGAGAAGGAAAATGATTCTTTACTCACACAGGGAGTTTGCAGTGTTTTCTGACAAGTGAAACATCATATTACTGTAGTGGTTGAGAGGCTTTGTACTTAAGAGGTATGCTGGGTTTCTATCTTGGCTGCTTCCTGGATGTCATTCAATTTCTGAAAACTTCAAATTCCCTCACTTATTACATGGGAATACTACTTACTTCATAAGGTTGTTGTCAAGTACATTATAAGTGCTCAGCAGATGGTAATTTAATCATTATTCATTAAATCCTGTCATTATTGGATCCCCTAATGATATTATGGCAGACTCTTGTTAATCCATAAATATTTGTCAGCCCCTGGCCCTTTTTACTGTAAGGTATTATATCAGGTAGAGCAAAGAGAAGAAATTGGGGGTTGAGGGCTGAGTTTTTATCATTAACTTCTTACTCAGGCAAATATTGGCTGAAGATCCAGGCCTGGGACTTTGCTACTGTCAGAGGTAAGATATGAATTGGGTCATGACAGTCACAACTATTTAAAGGGGAGAAATACTGATGTGCCAAATTGCTTTTTAATAGCCTACAGATAGCAGTATCTCCTTCTTAGATTTTGGGTCTGAGGACAGGGCTGCAAGAGACATGTAATGCATGTGGTACTAGCCTGTGTGTGAAGCACAGCCCAACACAAAAGCTTCATAGTAGCTTGGATGAAGGAGAGCATTAGTGAGGAAAGGAGAGAATATTATGGGGGGGGGGTGAAGTGAGAGGAAATTTACTATGTCCATCTGTCCTCCACGGCAGAACTATGCGTGTATGTCTAGAACTGTTTTGTTTGGTTGCTTCCGGTGTGCTTCTGTCTCTAAGCCACTCATTGGTGAATGGGTGCTGGTTTCTCAGAAATGATCGCCTCCCTTCACATGGAATTAAATAGGTGCCCCAAAGAATTTCTCAAACATCCTTTCATTAACTATTGACCATATATATGCAGAGCACTATTTTTGGAAGCAAGCAAAAATTGAAATGACAATTTGGGCATGGATTTGGGATTCAGAAACTCAGCACTTCTCAAGCTTTAATGTGCCTATGAATCCCTTGGAGATCTTAATAAAATGCCACTCCCAGGTTCCCTTCATCTAGGGTGGGGCCCAAGATTGTGCATTTCTAACAGGCTGCTAGGTGACGCTCATACTGCTGGTCCAGGGCCCACATTTTGAGGAGCAAGTATTTAGAGAAAAGGGCAGTTTCATCTCTCCCCTTCTCTCCTGACCTTTGCCTTCTGCCAGAGAGGACTTGTTCATTAGATCGGTTGGATTCCAGGAAATTAATTGGGCCACATTTAACAAGGGCAGGGTTAGGAACCTCCATGCAGCTTTATCTTCTACTTCATGCAGCAGGAATAGATACGCTGAGCCAAGGCCTCCTCTTGGGATCTGGCCATCTTGTTTTCTCTTCCTCAAATGCATAGCTGAGCATACTTTTTATTGCTTCCATTTCTGGTCCAATGTGGCAGGACAGAGGGTGAGAAGATTTCGGTGTGTAGTGGGGAAGGAGAGGCTCGGGGAGGCCTTTCTGTCAGCTGCTTGCTCTGACCTTGTTTTCACAAGAGAGCTCTGGCCTAAGACACTGAGCATCTATTCAAGTGAAAATAAAGTAGTATTTTGATTTCTCATCTGTTGATGGCTCTTGAATGTATTGCCATGCTTGTGAACCTCACAGGAGAGAATGATGACTGACCAACAGTAGCTTTCTAGCACTTGTGGTCCTTTGGCTCAATGTCATCAAAACCTCTCCTTTCATTCCTCACAGGCAAGCTCTGGGCACAGGCCAGTGAATCCTATGGATGACCTTACCGCTAATGGAAGAACTCATTACTGCTGAGATACTAGGGAGGTTTTTTTTAAGAGAAGATGTATGTGGAATTATTTTGATGGCAAGAACTTGGTGTGGTACACAGCAGAAGGCACGGTGCTCCTGCTGGCTTTACGGGTCTCAGACTCTCTATCTGTCCTGGGTTCTGACCTTGTTTCTGTTTCTCTGAGCTGGTGCCTTTCTCACTGCCCATTGGTCTTAAAAGACTAAAGCCCCTTTTCTTTCCCAACTCACTTGGGAGCTTGCATACCTCCTAAACAGATGGCATGGGCTGCTTTCCTCTTCCTTCAGCTCAGTTTCCTAAGCATATGTGAAAGACAGATATTTGAATCTCTTTTATACTAATCTAAGCTGTTCAGGGTTTGGTCACACGCCAACCAAACCAAAGCTATTTTGGGGATGTTTTTCTAATTGCATTCACCTTCACAATTTACCTGAGAAAATGACAGCATTTCCATCACCAGTTTTTAATCCATATTCAGTCTTCAATCATCCCTCCATGGAAAAGTGGGAGATGTTTAACCACTTCATGCCCAGATGTAGCATTTGCCGTAGGAGGCTAATGTGAGCTTCAGATTTTCATTCTTCTTACATCTGTCCACTCACCCCCAACCCAACAACAAATTTCTCTATAATTCCAGAGCCCAGTTCAGTGTAGCCTGATTTAGAAAAATAAGTCCTCTCTGCCTATCCCTACCCTTTCCTACTGCTCAATCCACTCTGCACCCCACAACCTTTTCATCTCCAGTATCAACTATGGCACTCTGTGCAAGCCATGATGTCAGCTGTTTGCATCTGCTAGCATCCCTTCCTTAAGGGATCCTTCTTTCCCCTCTTCCATGTGGTCCTGGTGGACCTGTCAGTCATGGTGTCTGAGGTGCGGTCCCCTCTTCGCCCACTTGCTACCACCTATTCCAGACTTGGCCAATCATATTATTTCATCTCCCTGTCCTACAGTGATTGGTTCAGGGAGAGGCACATAACCCAAATAGAGCCAATCAGAGATTTCCATGAGATTTACAGAGTCATTGGGAGAGAAATGTTCTTTAAGACCGGAGGCTTTGAGGTA